CTAAACAAATCACTTTATACCTAATCAAAGAGGCCAGATATGAAGGTTATATACAGCATTTTATGGATTTGCTGGTAGGTTTTCTTGTCTCGTTAGCTCGAATTTGGTTGGAACGAAAGCTTAGCATCTTTTCTCCGGAATCGAAGGAGATTGCCTCGGAAGCAGCGTCAGCATGAATGATCCAGTAAGGCCAATCGAAAGCTGGTGGGATCGAACTAGCAATCTCTTCACGAAACACTTTCACTTGAAATGGAAGTAAGCACAACAATAAATATACTTATACAATGTTGCATAGTTATATTAAGATACGAAGAAAAACTGGGTTTCGATGAATCTCTTGAGATAATATTGTTAGGGGGACTTTCAGTTCGCATGAAAGTGAATGAAGAAGAGATTCGTTGGTCGATCTTACCAGATGAATCTCGTTGTACTGCAACCGTTTGGCTTTAATACGATATTCATATTGACGAATTCCACAAGACTTCCTCCCTCGTTTCGGGTGAAAACGTGCTCAGCTTTTGTCCATCAAATGATGGAAATCATCAGAGCTGGGTTTCATTCTCGTAAGAGTCTCACGTTAACACGAGGCCAAGAACACTATTCGGCTATATCTTACTATTTATATAGACTTAATTGAGCCAAAAGTAAATAAAAAACCTAGATATATCGATATAGAGTGGTTTGGTTAATTTTCTTTCATACTGGTTATGCTATTCTTGCTAGATTGTATGATTATGTGTATGTGTGCATGTTAGCGTCTATATGCAATACGGTTCCTAAGTCAGAGTTGTAAAAGTTTTAATTTCAATTCCTGATTCTCAAGACCAAATGAACCAAGAGAAGGCCTTGACTTTCATGCTTAAGAGCTCATATTTCATTGTCTCATCCATACTTGTTTACGGACCTACGCAGTCTCGGTCAAGGATTTCTCTCGGTTCATTAGGTCTTGAGAATCAGGAACTGAGATTAAAACTTTAAAAACGCTGATTCAGGAACCTTATTGCATATAGACGCTAACACGCACACATAAACATACTCATACAATAGAGCAAAAATAACAGAACTAGTATGAACGAAAATTAACCAAACCACTTTATATCGATATATCTAGGTTTATAATTTACTTTTGGCTCAATTAAGTCTATATAAGTAGTAAAATAGAGCCGAATAGTGTTCTTGGCCTCTTGCTAACGTGAGACTCTTACAAGAATGCAACCCAGCTCTGATGATTTCCATCATTTGAAGGACGAAAGCTGAGCACGTTTTTACTCGAAACAAGGGAAGAAGTCTTGTCGACTGCCTAGATTCATCCGTCCTCATCTGGTGAGCTCGACCAACGAATCTCTTCTTCATTTACTTTCATGCGAATTGAAAGTCCCCCTAACAATAGTTATATTTATTCGTAAAAAAATTTAATTAACAATGCTTCACTTAATTTATATATTTGATTCTAAAGTTGCCGTATTAACAGGAGAAGAAGAATAAATTATTTTGACTAGACTTAATGCTCCAATTGAGGGCGTAGAATATTCCTAAAAAACATTGAGTTTCTTGTACTTATTTAGACACTTAATGCGCCTCAACCGAAATAGCATAGCAATCTAAACCGAGCAACAGGATAGATTATTTGATAATCAACACAAGATATCCTATTAAATAGTTTATAAAAATGCCTAAAAATTACATCATTTCGCCAGAGTCTTATTTATATATTAAAGAAAACCTTTTTCTAACATAGAAGTAGGCCAAATTGCTTTAGGGAATATTTGGAAGTATTTTCATTTTTCTTGTAACTATTAATATTCAGGTCAGTCTTTGCACTACAGATAATGTAAGAGTAGACAAGCTCTGCTTTAAAATCACCGTTGGCTTTGAAGAATAAACTTGCAATTTAGGTCAAAAGAAAGGACAGTGCCTCCTCGAACAGGTCTATTTAATTTTCAGGCTTTATTGTATGTACAAAAATAAGATGTGGATATATATATATATTTATGCTAAATAAATTTCTAGCAACCAAAAAAATATACTATTAGTGTAATTTTGGGGCACGGTATATTTATCTAATCTAAATTTAACTGGAACAGCAAGAGGTATATACTCACATATATATCCTAATCTAATCCACGATAAACGCGGGATTTGTAATTATTTCTAATTAAAAAAAGTGAATAGCCACTTTGGCCAACTTTGTTGCCTATGAATGAATCAAATTCAGCAGAGCCAGTTTAAGTGCTGCTGGCCGGAGAGATCATAAAATAATTTATTCAATCCTAAAGGTTTACAAGCCTACTGTGCAGCTCATTTTCTGTCACTTTAATTATGATTTATTAAAGCCTCAACATCTTGCCTGATACATTCCCATAAGTTTGGCCAACCTAATTGCTATTATTATCATTCATAACAGCCTTACTAGCACCGAAAAATCACTCACCAAGTTATGAAGTGAGGCGTTTTTTGCCTATCACGCACCTGGTTAGCGATCATGTAGACGGACGTGACACGATTTATCAGAACAGTTCTAGCTTCACTTTTACCCATAAAGATTTAACCAACTATCAAATAATTAATCGATCAACTAATTCAATTAATGGAATAAATAAATAATAAATTACTCAGTGAATTATTATAATGGGTTATTAATTTATTATGTATTCATTAGTAAACTATCATTTCCCTTTCATATAGGATCTACTTACAATATTTCACTGTCTTAACTATAATCTTCCATTAATTTCATGCCCGACAGACTTGATTTGACCGAGAATAAAAAAATCATATTAAAATGTAGTTATTGGACTGTAGGGATCTAAAGAATTTACAGTATAATGTTATTGTCATATCTAACTGGACGAAAGCATTTAGGAAACAGTTTCCTAATCCTCATACTCACTTGACATTCTGACAACTTTATAGAATCAGCTAAATGCTCCTGTCTTCCCATGGAAGCTTCTACAATCGCGTAGTTCTTGTTCTTCGACACTCTTTCGTTCAGCAACAAACTTCGGCTCAGCTGTTCCGCATCGCGACTAAACAGGAGGCTTGCAGCCTGGCCAGTTGATGCATCTATTGCTTGAGGTGATAGATAGACTGACTTGGCCTCAGCACAGACAGCATCTGTACCAACGTGCACCTCGTTTGCCTGAAGAAGAAGCGGAAGTAGGTCACGCCAGCGCAACAGCTCCACTCCACCATTAACATGGGGTGGAATGTAATAGTACCTTGCCACATGTTCTTCCGAGTGGACGGCCTCTTGCCAAAGTTCTCGAGGCAGATCCGGATTACCTTCGAGATCGCATGAAGGAATAACTGAAGTTATTAGTGGTTAAGCGATAACATCTATTTGCTTGG